ACTGGACGCCAACACGGGGCACCAAACAACCAAGAAGAGGTTATCAGACAACCCCTCTTCTTCAACCCCTGGATCAAAGACACAATAGGTCACCCCTGGTCCGTCTACGTGAGAGATAGGAGATGGCTCACATGGGTGGAGAGAGGAGTATGGCAGCTCAAACACCTATGGTCAGAGGAACGGAAGGACTAGTTGACGGCCCAGGAACTCCGAACCTCCCTCAGGGGATGCCATGCGCTTGAAACCAACTTAGCAGCGATGCATCACAGCATCCCTGCCCAGTGGTTAACGCTCCTCATAGAAACATCTACTTGGAAAACAGGCGATTGGGGCATACTTATTACTCACACTTCACCTGAGAGGGCCTACCGCTTCGTATCTAGATCAGACTCTTCAAGCTACCGATCGAACTTCTTATCCTACCCAATCGCCAACCATACCCTTCAGGAGCTCGTAATCCAAAACGAGGACCGCCAAGCCACGCGACTAGAAACCTTCCTCCTCAGGAAGGTCCGAGTCTCCCAGAACAGACCATGGGTCATATCCCAGCTAGAACTCAGTATCGAAGACCTGGAATTCGACCCCAAGGAATGGAGGTGGAAACAGGGCACCACAGGGAAGTCGAGAACAATTTCCCAATACGATGTAAAATTCAGCTACGACCTCGGACTACAGACCATAGATCCAAATCCAAGGTTGGCAAAGAATGGCAGACCAGCCTGAATCTGAACCCGCCAGCCCAATTCTCCATCCCGTGGGCCAAATACCTTCTTATCAGACCAATTAGAATCCGAAGTATGCAATGTCTCCTTGCACACTTAGCCCTCTTGGTCAACCAATGGCTTCACAAAAGAAGGAAACACTCAGACCCGAACAGCTCGGAAATCTGCGCGATGTGCAACAAAAACACGTCTGAAGATATCCCACACTGCCTACTCTTCTGTCCTGAAGCGACCTGGTACTGGAACAAAGTTCAGAAACTATGGTCTAACCTCTTCTCAGCCCCACCCCCCAACACTTCCCCCCTAACCATTCTACTCCTCCCGAACACTCCCGGGCACCTCAAGGGCAGCAGGGATGTCTGGTTCCAGCTACTCAGAAAACTAACTCTTTGGATCATATGGAAACGACGATGCACACAGACAATTGAGGGAGCAGAGGTGGCAAAGGAAGAAATGTGGACTCTCTTGATACACATGGCGGAGACCGAAATCTGGAGCAGATGGCGGATGATATCTTCACCAGCTAAAAACAGACCAGATAAGCATGCAGCTAAGAGACGAGCATTCGTAAAGGACTGGCTAATAAAGGGCAAGGTGGCCACCATAACGGACAACAGACTGATATGGAAGAAGTGGTATCAAGGGTAACAGAGGAGCGCTGCGCCCCAGCAGCATCAATCATCAATCAAGGTTACCGCCACGAAGAGGAGCCGTGCGCGCTGGAAAACTGCACGCAGCAAGGAAAATAAAGCGCGCGCGCTCGACGATTGCGCGCGATTGGGCACGCGCCCTGAGCTGTAAATTGGGTCACCGGTGGTCTATGTCGAGGAGCTGAGGTGGTCCAAATTTCAGATCAAATGGTCCAGTGGATCATGAGATATCGAAGATTTAGGGCGCGCCATGAAATTCAAGTGTGTCGGGTGATGCTGGGCGAAGCTGTGAGATGATTGAGGGGGTGAATACTTCACCTCTCTATCTCCTAACATTTGAAAGCATTTGTAGTGCCATCTCGCCGTCTTGTGCCTATGACGAGGAATGCTACGGGCTAGCATGCCGTGTAAGGGGGAGCAAGTTTTTCTTACGAGGGTTGCTTCAGGAAGAATCATTGGTGCTCTTCATCTTGCGTATTTTGGTGGAGGAGGTCGGCTCCCAGCAAGAGGGAGGAGAGTACCGTGTGTCCCATGAGATGGGAGGACGAATGGAGGGAGATAAGGAGGGAAGTGATATTCAGGTTCTCAGCTCGTATCCAATGCGTTTTTTTTTTTTTTTTTTTTTGAAGAAATGTTTTGCGACATCTTACCGGGACAACATCAGTTAGTAAGCGGGCTTCTTCATCAGCATGTTCGTCAGCGACAGCTTTATCATCAGCTCGTAAGAGGGCATCTTCATCATCAGCTTCGGTTTTATCATTGTCGTCATCATCATCATCATCATCATCATCATCATCATCATCATCATCATTATCATCATCAGCATCATCAGCAACAGCAGCAGCATTACTGACATCATCATCATCTTTATGAGCATCTTCATTGGTGCGTCATCATCATCATCATCATCATTATCATCATCATCATCATCATCATTATGAGCATCATCATCATTGGTGCGTCATCATCATCATCATCATCATCATCATCATCATCATCATCATCATCAACATCAGCATCATCATTATCGTCATCATATACTCATCATGATGATGATGAGTATTATCATCATTATTAGTTTGTTATTATTAGATGTTGTTCTTCAAGGCATCGTTTGCCTATCACATCAGCAGGTAAGAGGGTCGTCATTATCTTCCTCATTATCTTTATCTTCAGCGTGTTGTTCTTCGTCATCAACAAAATCCAAGCGAATGTCATTTTGGTGAGGGGGAGGGGGAGAGCCCAGTTGTGCAGGGGTTTCATTAGGTGGGTGGTGAAACCCTGGAGAGGGCACGGGCAGATTGTGAGGATTACTCTTTTCAGGGGCTGGGCATCAAATCCCAGCGGGGGCAGATTAGGGTAAAGGGATAGACAGGGGAGTGGAGAAAATGGAGGAAGGAAGGGAGAGTAGGGATTTTGTATGAATCATCTCATCACAAAATCTTCATCATCATCATCATCATCCATGTTATATCATGCTTTCTGGTGTGTTGTAATTCTCGGCGGTATCTGGCCTCCTTCCTTAATCGAGATAATGAGATTTTAGAGATGATTGAATCTGGACCGATATCTACAGAGTTGCTTTGTCTTTGCCCCTCGTTTGGCGATGCCAGAACGACGCTGGCCGGTGCTGGGGCAGTGCCCTGTAACCTGCAATTTGGCAGGAGTGTGAGGCCTTGTAGAGAGATCTGGGGATTTGTCGAGGGAGGAAGGCAATCCAGTGGCGAACCGGGGGGGCTGCCTTGACAACCTATGGGGTCAGGGATAGTCTAGGTGGCGAGAACAGGTCAGCTATGGTAGACATTGGTAAGGAGGGTATTGTCTCTGAGATGTAATGTCCTGGTGCAGGGAGGGCTGGGAAGGTTCGAGGATTAGGAGGCCAGAAGTGTTGTTATAACAGTCTTCTATATTTTCTATATTTTCTATTTACCAATCATCATACTCATCATTATCATAATCATCATAATCATCATCATCATCATCATCGCATCATTTGATTCATTAGTATCAACATCTGATTAATGATATATTAAGCTTTTTGGTGTTCTGAAATTTTGACAGCATCTAGCATTCTTCCACATTCGGAATATAGGACTTCAAAGATGATTGAACCTGGACTAATATCTACTGAGTTGCTCCGTTCTGTGCCCTTGGTTTGCCGATGCCAAAACGACGCTGGCCGGAGCTGGGGCGTTGCCCTATGACCTGCAAAAGGCAGGAGTGTGAGGCCTTGTAGAGAGATTTGGGGTTTGCTGAGGGTGGAAGGCATTCCAGTGGTGAACCGGGGGGGGCTGCAAGGTGGCAAGAAGAGATCAGCTAAGGTTGATGTTGGGTATGTTGGTTTTGTCTCTGAGGTACAGTGTTCTGGTGCAGGGAGGGCTAGGAGTTGTTCTAGGATTAGGAGGCCAGAATAGCTGATATAGCATAATCTTTTATATTCTTTCATATATTTGAATCTAGCATCATTATCTGTGGTATCATCAGTATCATCAGGGTCATCACTGTCTCTTATACACATCTAGATGTGTATAAAAGACTGGGACCGAATGGGTTGTCTCCCTGGACCCTGATCTTCTAGGTCAAATACAAGAAAAAGAGGAAAATGGATTGAAGAAAAAAATAACAATGTAGTTGAGGATTAGATCTCACAGTACACTACATTGTCCAGCATAGTTCCCTCATACGAGGTATGAGTTCCACCATACTACAGACCTTCTCCCCCAATACTGCTCAGTCTGCTGAAGAGCGCACGCTCTTGCTTTCTATTTATCCTCATCAACTAGCCGCATCCTAATGCACTGCTCCCATCGTCCCGTGAAACAGGAAGAGGGCCGGTACCAATTCCCAAAAAAATATATATTCCGAAAACATAATTTTAACGAAAAAAAGATGGAAAAGAAAAAGAAAAAAGAAGAAAAGAAAAAGAAAAGAAGAGAAGAAATTATACGTCATCGTAGTAGAAGAAAAACGTATATGGGGCCATCCGGTGCTCCTTCGAACCTTCTTGATATTGCTGACCAGATCTTCGTCAACCCAGATCCGTCAGATATCCCACTGCCGGCGTCCTTCCAATTTTGCTCGCGTGGCGTTGCGGACTCGTCCTTCGAGGCGCATTTCTCAGGTACCGAAGGAAGGAGGAATGACCAGATACTCTCTCTGATCCAAGTATATAGTCCGGAAAATCGAGTAGGTACCCCTGGGTATAGCTAGTCCATCGGAGCCCCGAAAACTCCGGCCTCTGGGCTGGCGTCCACAGGGAGAATAAAGAAACAGCCAACTTCAACACAAAAAGACAAAACCAAAAGGTTGAACCCGTGTCGTGGAGTTCTCCAACTCAGTCCCAAGCGTCGTAGCACTGGGAAAGTTTCTGTACCATTTCGATCCAGACCCCTTTTAGCTTTTTCGAGACCTAGAGCGAGAATTGGGTAAAATTCGAAAAAAAAAAAAAAAGTCTGAGGCCTAGAGCGAGAATTGGGTAAAATTTGTGCGCAATGATCGCCTGAAGTAGATTCGGAAGGATGGGTAGAAACCGAATCGGGTAGCTTGGTAATCCTTTGTCTTACTTTGCTTGGTTGCTAGCGCAATAGGACGGGATCTGGCTCGGAGTTTATCTTAGCGCAGGGGGCATCAGAGGAACGAGGAGAAGGGAGAAGCCTCGATTGGATTCAAGGCTTGCGGGAGCACGAGGAAGAATCAGGACCGTTTAAGAAAGAGGAGATTGAATCTTGAAAGCTTTCATGATGATGGATCTGACATTCGCAGCGGGAGGGAGGGAGGTGGATTGGAGCACTGTGGTTCCCAGATCTGTCGTGGATATCGATGGGGACGAGGCGGGGGAAACTCTGGTAAAAGATTGGGAGGGAATGACCGTGGTGGAAAACAGAATGGTTTCGAACCTAGCCTTCGACACCAATTTTTCTGATTGTAAAATCCTTGATCGATCGAAGGGGACTCTTTTGCCCTTTGAGAGGGCAAACGTTTTCGGCAGTTGGGAAAAAGGGAGGTTAAGAGCGAGTTTCGGAAGGGAGCACAGATTGAACTCTGAGGAGGGATTGGAAGTTCTTTTCGAGTTTTTCAATCGAAACGCTTTCTGTGTAGTGGAGAAGTTGAGCGGAAAAGGGAGACTTTGGGTAATTGAGAAAGGAATGGTGGAGAGAATGTTAGATCACTGGATCCTAGGTGAACTACTTGCGGGATTTACTGTTGCAAGAGCTTTTGGAAGGACACTTGATGAATTGAGCAAGGAAGAGCTAAGGACTGTGAAGGAGGCATGTACGGTGGAGAATGAAGCATGGAAAGGAAGAGGGAGGTGGGAATTCGTGGCTCTGGGACTGATCATTGCTCTGGCGGGAGGAACGAAGAGGCAACTGGTCACGAACCTGCTGAAAGGACTGGAGGGCATCGAATGGGAAGGAATTGGAATTAAAGAAGTAAAGGAGTGCGTTTCAGCAACACTGAAGGAAGCCTCCAACGAGGGGAGGGAGCTTGGATTACAAGCCTTGGATGTGAAAGACTCGGGATGGACTTCAATCCTCTCTTTGTGAGAGGAGGAGGAGCGAACTTGAACTTTGCAGTCACTTGGTGCTCGATAACAGAGCGTCCAGTCCCGAACGTCCGACCGATCTTCATTCCACTTCCTTCCTCGACTGAGCAAAACAGGTAGTACCGATCACCTCAGGGAAGAAAGCGTCCGGTTCCCTCATCAGCACCTCGCCTGAGGTCAAGTCCGCCCGATTCGCCGCCTGAATCAGGGCGCTACTTGGATGTGTCTTAGAACAGTTCCACAGAACTAGTCATTTTAACCTAGACGCTACGGCTCCTTTTAGGAGCGACGATCTAGACAAAGGAATTTCCACTAGATCTATCTCGTTTTAGCTGTTGCTAGGTCAAGTCATGGTTAATTTTGCAACTGGTTATTTTGCCTCGCAACAGCTAAAAAAAAAAAAAAAAAAAAAAAAAAAAGCTTTTTCGAGACCTTCTCTAGTGCGGAAAAAATCATCCAGCTAGGGAACCCTGCCCCTTTCTGTTCTCGGTGAAAAGTGATCACGGAAAGGGGTAGTAGTGCGTCACAATTAGTATTAGAGTTAATCCGATAAATATTTCCAATTAAGTTTGCGATTTTTTGCTCCTTGGGTCCCAAAGATGAAAAAGACCGAGTAATCATATACCTGGGCTTTTTTGGGTCAGCCCATATACTCTCTGCGTTTTTGAATTTGTGCATCATGATAATCTCAGTCGGGCCCTCAAGTACGAACAGCTTGGTTTCCAAAAACTCAAGGACATTCGTTCCGTGGTCCGTACGTTCTAATCGTGGCTCTCTGTGATAGCACGTACTGATTTTTCGTACGACAAACACAGGAACAAGCAGGTCGATAAACAGGGTGTGAGAAAGCCAAACGTGCACGAACGTCAGCAAAACCTCTCACTTCTCTAGTTTGTTAGAGGAATATCTGGCAGGCCTATACAGCAGCCTGAGAGGAACGAGTTGAGAGGGCAAGCTGACAGTCAATCCTCCTACAAGGGAGTAATCAATGCTGGTCAGGGATCCTTCGCCCTGACGGAAGGAAGCGTGAGTGTGTATTACATGTAAACCCTTTGACTTGCCGGGGGAACAGAAACCGGACTGACGCTCCCCAGA